CTGGATTATGTGTGGATTGTTCTTACAACCTTGGTTGTAGAGGAGTGCTTCTGCCAGTTTCCAGTTAGTTTCAGTGAGAATTGTTCCATGTGTAGATGTATTTTTGATGCATTTGTAGCGGGAGTAGGCTACACTTCTTCTTACTCCACCATCTTGATCTCTTTTCTCTCACTTTCCTTTCTTATAGTACTTATTGTTTGTTTTCAGACCTGTCCTCTCTACTAAATTAAATGCTTTGGACGATGGAGGCTACATCTCAGTGATGTCTTTTCCATTGTGCTTAACATATAGTGCGTATATGCATGCTAAGTCGCTTCAGTTGTGTCTGACTCTTTGCGACCCCATGCCCACCAGGCCCCTCTGTCCATGGGATTCTCCAGGCGAGAATACTGGAGTGGGTTGCCATGCCCTCCTCCAGGGGATCTTCCCAACCCAGGTATTGAACCCACATCTCTTAGGTCTCTTGCATTGGCAGGTGGTTTCTTTACCAGTAGCACTACCTGGGAAGCCCCCTTAGCATGTAGTAGGTACTGTGTAAAAATTTATGGAATGAATATATCAATGTATATTCAGCCCTTACCATACCTGTCTCCTGTGACCATTTTCTTATGATTTTGAAGGTGTGACCTGACAATATGTTGAATGTGTGTATATTAAACTAGTAAATATACCAAAAAGGAAACAGACTGACAGAGAAAAAGTGAGTGGTTACTAGTGGGGAGAGAAATGTGGGAAGGGGAAGATAAGGGTAATGGGTTAAGAGGCACAAAGTACTTTGTAATAAGCTGCAAGTATATATAGTACAGAACAGGGAACATAGTCAATATTTTACAATAACTATAAATGGAATGGGCTTCCCTGGTGGCTCAGATGGTAAACAACCTGCCTGCAATGCAAGAGACCCAGGTTCGATCCCTGGATTGGGAAGATCCCCTGGAGGAGGAAGTAGCAACCCACTCCAGTATTCTTGCTGGAGAATCTCATGGACAGAGGACCCTGGCGGGCTATAGTCCATGGAGTCACAAAGAGTTGGACATGACTGAGCGACTATCACTTTCACTTTTTCTTCCACAAGCAAGATACTCTGTGGTGTCTCAGGCTTTTTCTGGCCCTGAGACTCTGTGGCCTTTTGATTTACCTTTAAAGTCTTTTTATTGTTTGTGGGGAAAAAACCCCACAGAATCTAGGAGACTTGATGTACAAGCTTTGTTAAGTGCTATTAGAAAGTCTGTTATTTAAAGTTATTTTTTTCACTTACTTGCCGTTTTACAAAATAACCCTTACAAATGTAGTCAATCACTGGAAGGCAAATTATTCAAGTAAGTCATCAGCAAAAATGGCAGAGTGAAGACTTCTGAAAATTCTACCCATAATAGAAATGACAAAATTGGCAAAAACTATCAGAACCAACTTTTGCAGCACTCTGGAAATTAACCAAAGGTTTGCACCAATGGAATATTCATTTATTCATGAAAAATGACTGCCTTATAATAGTCATCTTTGTGGCATTTTCACTTGTGCTATGCCCATCTTTTGCTCTCCAGCTTTGCAGTGGCCTTGAGAATTCACAGCTTGCAACCATAGGGAAAGCCAGCAACCTGGTAACACCTGGAGGATGCAGAACAGGTTTGAAACTCCTGTAAATCCTCATTTCTGGAGAACTGTCATTATTTGATCTGTCTGGCAATTCCCCAGAAAACCCCACATGTAAAACTTTATTTGTCCTGACTTGGAGGTGCAGATAGCCTCCCCCTCTCTGAGTTGGGGGGGGGATGCTTTTCTGGAAAACTATTAGAGGCAACTGATTAATTCACAGCTATTTGAGGAGTAGATAACAAAAATGTTTGAAAGGTAAAGCTGAAGAATAATATATTTGTTGGGAAAACAACAAATTTGTTTGAAAAGTTCAGGCATATTCTTGGGAACCTAGAGGTCCACATGCCTGCTCAGGGATGTGAGCAGTCTCAAGGCTATGTACATGCTCAGGAAAGACCTGAGAAGGCCCTCAGCTCTCACTCTGGCTGACCTTGAGCTCTGTATAAGCAGAAAGGGAAGACTAAGGCAGAGTTAATCAACTGCCTGGCTGAGTGTTGAAGGCATGCCCTAGCATGTACACAGAGCATCTTGGCCAAGACTGGGAGACTTTTTGGTTCCAGGAGCTTATGGAAATCTCTTTCTCAGTTATTATTTGACTACTAAGCTAACCCAGCAGAGACTTCAGTCTTTTTAATGATTATTAAAGTAGAATGGAACAGAGTGAAGCCTGTTGCCCATCAGACCTTATTGAAGCTGATTCTTGGTCCACCAAGCTGCAATGTTTGTAGTTCTGCCTGTATAGTTCCTATGTCTTTAAACAGGTTGAAAGGGCAAGGAGCTCATGTAAGTCTGATGTCTTGTTTGTTAATTTTAAGGTAAGACAAAAGTAGTTTAAGAAAATTTTTTTCAGAAGGATTGGTGTTAGTGAGAAGTGATTTGTTTGGAAATGCCATTTCACTTCTGCACCTCAACCACAACCCAGTTGGCTTCTTCGTCTTTCTCAGTTCTTGTGGAAGATCAAGTCCTCTTTCCTCCCCAGACTCCCTTTTATACACTCTCCTCATGTTATCGCTCTGTACTTCTGTTAATCTCATCTTCTGGTCTGGCTTTCTTTTGTTTCATCCCTGTAGCTTTCAACTCAGGCTGGTTATGGACTGACACACTGCATTCTTGGAGTCTATTTCCTAAGAGGAGACTCTGGAAGAATAGAGACTGTAATTGCCCTTTTTCCTGGCCTGGGGGTGAGGGGTGTAAGAGCAAGAGAAAACTTCATTGGCTATCATTTTGGTCAGAGCCATCTCAAATGAAGCAGTGCAGTTCTCACAGGCTGTAAGGAGCTGTACTAATTTGACCAGATAACTGGGCAATGACTCACTGAGACAGGGTTGGCAATAGAGAATTTTTTTTTCCAGCCAGTACTAAAAAAAGACCCAAGGCTTATATGCATACATGCTGTACATTCATCCAATACCACCTTCCTCATCCCTACCAGGGGAATGCCAGAGAGGTTGCCCCTTTCCAACACTTCTCTCAAATTGCTTATTTTTCTGACTCACCCCTCCCTTCTGCCCCCCTTTTATAGGCTGCACTGGATGTTTGTTTTAACCTGATTTCTCTTGCCTGTGAGGGGTGGAGAATAGGGTGGGAAGGTACACAGTGTGATTTACGCCACCTCTGTCCACCACCTCCTGGGGATGGCCTGACCTGGATGATCATTTTTAGCCTGCTATTTCCTGAGCATGGGCCAGGGGCTGTGGCCAGGGGCTGCGGCCAGGGGCAGAAAGGCTAAGATTGTGACACAAGCTCCCTGGCAGATTTGGCAGTGATAAGTTTTCACTGGGGAATGAAATGACTGTCTCATTTCTAACTTCTGTACATTGGAAATAGCGCCATGGCTGTGACCCTAATGATGAAAACATCTTGAGGAGAAAGGCTACCTAAATCCCTGAGAGACTGGACTTCTGTCACATATTTCAAGAAGAGCAGTATCCCCGGGTAGCTGTGTTTCTAAAATTATAACTTCAAACAAATTATGACTTCAATGTATACAGATTATACAAAGTATAATGTCAGCCTCCAACCGAGTAGTCTGTTTTCGTGATCATATAAGACTCATTTATTTATTTCTATGAAAGACCATTTATTTCTATGAAAACAGCATGCTCCTGCCTTAGAAAACAAAGCCAGAAGAAAGCAATTTGTCCTTTCAAGTGAGCTAAACACATCCCGCAATGATATTTTTTATAGGAAACTATTCCCTTGGCGCTCTTAGGGGCTGATCTGGGAGAGCCCTTGCAGCTACTAGTAGCTGCACAAAATGGCCCCTACTGGCTCTGAGCTCCCCTCTCTGTAGGATCTGGGAGCCTCCAGTTGCTGAGATGATAAGATGTGTGCTCGGTTGTCTCAGCTTTGAACTTGAAATATGATTTGTCATTGAAACAGCACTATAAACTATGAAATATACTAACAATTTCATTTTTCTGCTTATAGGTTAAGATAGATTTTTCTGGGCTGGATTGGAAACTTATTTACCATCTATGATATTCTTTCTCTCAGAAAATTACTGGCTTGGCCAAAAAGTTTGTTCAGGTTTTCCCGCAACATCATATGGAAAAATCCGAATTAACTTTTTAGCCGAGTCAGTACTTGAAACTTTTGTGATAAGATCCTTCCCTTCACAAGTCAATCTTGAGTCTTTTAGCAGATCCTTTCCCCGCAGGCGGTACAGAAGTGAATTTTAACTCATCCCACATTACCTGGACATAAGTTCTGAGAGTGTGGCCTATGAACTTATGAGATTTAATTGTATTTTGTTCAGTTCCTTTCTGTTGAGAGATAACCATGGTCATTCGTGAATCCCAAGAACAAGTTCTATTTATCAGTTGCTTCAAGATTCTTCTTTGCAGAAGTTGTAAGTGAATAAAACACTAAGTTACTGATAAAACATCTGGACTTCCAGCTAAAATATTACATTTTCAGAGCTGTATATATAGTGTTTCAGGCTTGTCATAGCCCCCTTCTAAGCCACTGGCTGCTAGAAACCTCACATTAGTCCCTGGGGTCTGATTAGACATGGAAAGGGGTCAGATATGCAGGTACTATTGTGTCACCTTGTACTATACTCACACTAGGACAAGCTAGAAAGTGGCTGTTTACAAAGAAAGCCCCATTGGAAAAAAAGGTTTGATGTACTTGTGACCAAAACATCATTCAGAGATGGTGCCAAATGGGACCATGATAAAAGGAAGGTCTAAACAGGTGGTCAAAAAGAAATCCCTCTCTTAAAAGATTTTGAGGCCCCATAAGTGTCTTCGTTTCTCAAGCAGGAGGATTTGCTTCCATTAGATTCCAGTGGTGAATCTAAAAAAAATCTAATTTTTACCTTCAGGACAAAGGTAATAATTAATAAATCATAGAAGCAAGTCCCCTCTATTACATTTTGCTTAAGTTTCTTTCCTTTTCAGTTTTGTCCAAGTATGAAAACCAGATTACTATTTTTGCTGACTACCTAGAAGAGTTTCCAGATACAGATGAGCTGGTATGGATCTTGGGAAAACAGCATCTTCTTAAAACGGGTAAGGTTTGGTTGCATTTGTCTGTGAGAACCCAAATGAGGTGGGTGCCCGAGGTCGAAGTCCTACCCTGTTTCCCTTCTTGGGTTGATAAGGGGTTAATGCTAATGCTAGGCAGATTTACTTTACAGCCAGAGGAGTTTAAGCCTCCGGCCCCTTTCTTGCATACAAGGACCCTTCTGAGGCCCTAGCAATGTGTTCACATGATCATAGGTGTTTTTACAATTTGAAAAGGTCATATTTTTTTTTCCTTAAAGGAGAACCCCCCAATTCTATAAGCCTCGGGTTTCAAAAAACATGGACCGGCTCCAGGTATTACTAACCAGTATCTAGTCTTTGATGACTACATACTTCTCATTCCTCTCATGTCCTTTTCTGTCTAGATGAAAAACACTGCCACCCAAGGGACTTCTAAACAGTCCATGGCTGTCAGAAACAGTCTGACACTGAGAAGTCTTATAGTTTTAGAGCTTCTGCTGACTGTGGTACTGTCTCAGTTTATTCTGGTTTTGTACAGAACTCTTAGCCACTGCAGCTAGATGGAAAGGAGGCTTGGCTTTCTCTTCCTTACCATTACATTCTTATAGATTGAGAAAGACCTTTTAACCTGAAAGTGCTAACAACCCTGCACATAGATAAAACCTGAACTTGGAAAGAGGGAGCTCTGAGTTTTGTGTCTGAAGAGAGATCCTCTTTGGAGGCCCTAGCATGGAGGGAGGGACAGGAAGAAGCTGACCAAAAGGCAAGAGAGGGGGCTTCCCTGGTGGCTCAGTGGTAGAGAGTCCACCTGCCAGTGTAGGAGACATGGGTTCAATCTGTGATCCAGGAAGATCCCACATGCTGCAGAGCAACTAAGCTTGTGCACTCCAACTACTGAGCCTGTGCTCTACAGCCTGGAAGCCACAACGACTGAGCCCACATGCTACAACTACTGAAGCCAGTGTGCCCTGGAGCCTGTGCTCTGCAATTAGAGAGTAGCCCCCGCTCACCACAACTAGAGAAAAGCCCACACAGCAACAAAGACCCAGCACAGCCAAAAATAAATAAATAAATAAAAGGCAAGAGAAGAAGTTAGCATCTTCTAACTCCATTTGAGTCTGGCTTCATCCTTTTGATTGGAGAATCCTGAATAGTGGAGAGCACCTAGTGCTAACAGGTAGGATGCCTTTTGTATTCAGACTCGTCTACCTTGGATCAGTCACTTTCTGGATCTTAACTCCTTTTGCCAGTAATTAATAGGAGAGGAACTGCAGGTGGTCTCTTCTAGTTGTGCATTCCCTGACAACAGGGATCCCCAAGTTGCCAAATATGCCCAGTTTCAAATGTTAAGTTGGAAAAGCCCTTTCAAGGTGAAACTCTTATTAAAGTCTAGGGTTTCCCTTGTGGTCCAGTGGTTAAGAATCTGCCTGCCAATGCAGGGGACACAGGTTTCACCCCTGGTCCAGGAAGATCCCACATGCCACAGAGCAGCTAAGCCCATGCACCTGTGCTCTAGAGCTCACATGCCATAATTACTGAGCTCACGTGCTTAAGAGCCTATGCTTCACAACAAGAGAAGCCATTGAGAAGCCCGCACACAACAATGAAGAGTAGCCCCCACTTGCCACAGCTAGAGAAAGCCTACACAGAGCATTGAAGACCCACCATAGCCAATAAATAAATAAATCTTAAAAAAAAATGTCTATACAACTTTCCCCAGCCCTTCTAGCTTATAGGCAAGCCAGAAGACATAGAGAATATCGGAGGAAGGAGTGAGGGGTGTGAGCATTTGAGACAAGGGGATAAAATAATAGCTAACATTTACCTCAGGTTTACTGTGTACTGTACCATGTAAGCTACTGCTTTCCATGTAGTATTATCTTGTTGAATACTCATATCTCTGTGAAGTAGGTGCAATTATTCTCCCCATTATATAGATGAGGAAACTAAAGCTCAGAGAAGTTAAGTAACAAGGCCACACAGTTGATAAGCAGCAGAATCAGGTCTCAAACCCAGGCAGAGCATGACTCCAGAAGTCTTACTCTTGACCATTTTACATCTGCTTCCCATACTGTGCTAGGCACTGGCGACATGAAGGGGAAGAAAAATCCAGACAGCTCAGCTTTCTGATTTGTTCAAAGGAAAGGCAGAAGAGAAAATAGAGAGTAATGGTTAACACTGAATTTCCTTTCCTTCTTTTAAAGTGCAATGACTATAAATTCTGTACAGAATTACAAATATAGATGTGTTGTTGAGAAGGGTGACAGAGAAGACTAAGAAAGACAGAAGCACATCTAAGTACAGATGGACATGTGGAAGCCATATTTGTGGCCACTGAAGTAAATTTATGCTGTAAAATATGTATAGGAAAGCATGCTTTGAAAAAATTACGAAAGCATTTGTAATGTTATATCTCCATTTAGATTACAAATGCCAGTGCACTAGGTAGTATTGATAAATTTCTTACACACTTAATTTGCTTAGCAGGGACATCTTTTTAGTTTATGTGCATACACACATGCCAACAACCTATCCCTCGTTTTATGTAACAGACCGTGGATGCTGGTGAGAGGTCCAGCCAGCCATCAGGCAGGGGCTGACTGCCTTGTCAATAGGTTACCCAGGATCCTTGCTTTTCTTAGTCCTTGTCTTTTGGCCACGTGGTCTCAGTGTTAAGTACCTGCTGGGGCTATGGAGCTCAGTGAGGAGATAGGAGCCACTCAGCATCATTGTAGCCAGTAGCTCTGGTCAAAATATAGGTGGGAGGAAATACTGAAATTATTTGGCTAAAATGAGATTGGGTTTCCTATGCATTTCCCTTAGCCTCATAACAATGGAAATGACTGGTTATTTGAAATTGAGTTTGCCCCTGGCTCAGAAATCAAAGACAGATATCTTTAGATGGGATACGGTGATTTAATTTTAATTTCACATTTAATTACAGAAAAATCTAAGCTGTTGTCTGATATAAGTGCTCGTCTATGGTTTACATACAGGAGGAAATTTTCACCAATTGGTAGGTATATCATTTGTTATACTGTGCTTTCTTCCTTATAGATAGCTTTCCTGAGGTTATAAGTGATATCACGGAAACCTCAGAATTAACAACTCACTATGGCGAAGAATTTAGTTTGGGGGAGTAGTTGATTAAGTCTTATGCTTCATACAGAAGTTTCATTGCAATAAAAAAAATAAATAAATAAAAATTTAAAAAAAAAAAAAAAGAAGTTTCATTGCCGATGTGCCTCAGCATGTATGGTTCCATGGTGTTAATGTGTAATGCCGGTTTACTTTTGAGCCCACCTCCAAATGTTTGGGCACTAGAGATATTGTTTTAAGTCTAAGAGCAACAAAACAGTCAAACTTTTAATTTTATACAATCCACTGCTTTATGGAGTTATTTGATTATTAAAGATGACTGTACCCTTAAAGGAAAGAAAATAATTCTCTTGCTTTTTTTTTCCCTTTCCTATGATATGAAAACACTTTGCCACTGAGAAATGAATTATAGTGGATATCCTTGGAGCTAATTCTAGGCAGTTAAGAGTACCAGCTGCTGTCTAGAAAAAAGGATAGTTTAATGAGCTAAGTGAATAGGATCCCTCCAGAAAAAATTTGTAAAATGTTTGCAAACAGGTTACTTCTTTCTGATCTTGTGGTCCTATAGAAAAGGATCACCAAACTCACTTGGTGGAAGCTATTCTCCTAGAGGAAACCTGTCTGACTGATTTTGTTTTGGGACTGGACCTAATAACTGGAGTGAAATCTATCTTTCTGATAAGTGTGAAAAATGAAGTTCACACAGACTTTTTTTTTTTTTTGCTCTCCATAGGAAGTACCTGTGTGAAATACACAAAAGAACAATCTTTACTACTCAGTAATTCTAAACTGTTAACTTTTTCTGGATGAAGAGATCTTTGCAAGATTTGAAAACATTTGCAATTCAACTCTGACAGTGTTTTGAAAGAGATGATCCCTTCTTTATGTGGGCTTCATTGCATATTTCCATACTAATCTGGCCTATAATCCCACCATTAGCAAGAGCCAACAGACTCCACTTCCAGCTGACAAGTTGGCTCAACTCTCCTCATCTTGCTGTAGCAACTCTTCTTCAGTCCCCACAACAAAAGGAAAGGAGCATCCATCTTGGCCCACTTGTCTTACATGGTTGATGATGTCGTTTATGGTTAGTCTTGTGAGACCATGCTTATAGCATACTTTTCCACTTCTGTGTTGGGAGAGGCAATGAAAGCATAATATCTCCTCTGCCATCCAAGTTGTCTCACTTCAAAGTACTTTGAAAAAGGATATTGAGCACCGCCCCCTGCCCTGGCCACATATATAGGATTTTTGTTACATCAAGTGTTCTTCAAATGGAACCTATTGTCTTATTAACTGGTTTTGTGCCTTTTAAAAATATAGTATATTTCTAATTTATTAATAGTATTTTATATTAGGGCTTCCCTGGTGGCTCAGTGGTAAAGAATCCACCTGCCAACGCAGGAGACATGGGTTCAATTCCTGGGTCAGGAGGATCCCCTGGAAGAGGAAATGGCTGCTCATTCCAATATTTTTGCCAGGATAATCCCATGGACAGAGAAGCCTGGTGGGCCCCAGTCCATGGGGCTGCAAAGAGTCCACTTAGTGACTAAACAACAACATTATGACCATACTCATCATACCAAATATTTACATCATCTTGAATGAGTGGTAGAATACTTTTATAGATACTCTCTCATTTAATTCTTATAGTATCCACTGATAGTAGGCAAGGTATATGCTATTATCTCCAGTTTACAGATGAGATTTAGAGTAGGTAACTAGAGACTGGTCTTCTGATGCCTAACCTAGGACTCTTTCCTCTATTTTACATTCTCCTTACCATTCAGAGCTTCATAATGTATATTTAAAATGGTCAAGAGCCTTCCAGATTTCCTTGACCATACTGATGATCAACTTTGGTAGCATTTATTCCTTAACTCAGATAAGATAGCCCTCCTCTGGAAGTGAGCTGTGAAAGGCCAGATGTGGTCAGGCAGATGATGACATGGCATGGATTAAGTGTTGGTAGTCATACATGGTAGTCAGTCATCTACCAAAATTGAATGCATACCTGGATGTCTCTAAGCAGAAAACATACAGGGCAGGTTTTGTTCATTTGTTTGTTTTGCCTTAGGTCATAGAACCCGTTTTGGTTAACTCAGCATTATCTTTGCAAGTTCCACCCTGTAACAAATCTTGTTTGATATCTGGCTTTATCTCTTGCCTCTATTCTGAGTATGTGTGCCTATCTATATTGTATGATTCTCCAATATGTTGATGTTTCAGGAAAGGGCAATTTAATGAACTCACGTTCATTCTCATCCCTTTTGCCAACAGGGGGAACAGGCCCTTCGTCAGATGCTGGCTGGGGATGTATGCTACGCTGTGGACAGATGATGCTGGCTCAAGCCCTTATCTGCAGACACTTGGGAAGGGGTAAGTTAAATTTGTTCTGTCTCAGAGACCTCTGCAGTCACATTTACTGCTGATGGTTTAACCTTGGTGCTAAAGGGAACAGAGCTGCAGGTCCTGAAGTGCTCTCTGTAAGCCCAAGTGGTGGGGCTGACAAGTCAACAAACCCTCTCAGGAGAAGGAAACAGCTGGCATTTCCTTGTGACTCACTAAGCCAGAGAGTTATTTTCCTGGGATAGAACTGAACATTGAGTCAAGTGTATCATAGAGTTTCCATCTTCACTATTGTTCACGTGAATTCTTAAACAGGTCAGATAACAAAAGGAGCAGGAAGAAGGTTGTGGTGGTGAGCCTGTTTTTTGACCTCATTTAAAATATTTGCCTGGCAAAAGATGTCAGTGACCGAAAGGAAGTGCCTAATGAGGGAGCCAGTGCTATTTTGGTTTGGGTTCACTGATGAGGTCCACTTGATAATGAAGGAATCCTTAAATTAGCTTTCTCAAGAGGCTGCTTTATTAAGAACTTCCCAACACAACATTGTAAAGCAACTATATTCCAATAAATTAATTAAAAAATAAAAAGTTTAAAAAAAGGAAAAGTAACTATGTGGAGTGATAGATGTGTTAATTAAGTAGATTATGATAATCATTTCACAATGTATAGGTTTATTAAATTATCACATCATATAGTCTTTTAAAAATCATGCTGTTTAAGCTAAATATATTCAATTTTTATTTGTCAGTCATACTTAAATAAAGCTTGCAAAGTTTTTTAAATAATGAAAAGTACACACTATCTTAAAATTAGAACCTTCCAGTAATCATTGTTGGAACACTTGAGTCTTGCTTTCTTAAGTCATGTGCATGCTTCCCCATGGGCTGACCTTGGTTAGATGCCAGTTCAGGAAGTTGGTGAAAGTCTGGTTTGCCTTGGGGATGAGGGAATGAAAGGCCACCTTGGATGAGATTGGGCTGCTGAAATCTTCAGCTGTTACTCCTTGAGATTCAGAGGTACAACAACCGACTCCCTTTCCCTGACTGTACAACCTCACACATCCTCCTGCGGCTACCAGAGAAGACTGGAGAAGAGTCTAGGGAGGCTTTAGGGCTTCATGCCTTTTTTCAGGGTTTAGAATGTCCCGTGCCTGTGTCCCCTGGGTAGTATCATAATTTCTGTGTTTTTTTTCATTTATTTTTATTAGTTGGAGGCTAACTACTTTACAATATTGTAGTGGTTTTTGCCATACAGTGACATGAATCAGCCATGGATTTACATGTGTTCCCCATCCCAATCCCCCCTCCCGCCTCCTGCCTCCCTCCCCATCCCATCCCTCTGGGTCTTCCCAGTGCACCAGCCCTGAGCACTTGTCTCATGCATCCAACCTGGGAATTATACTATCAAGGGTGAAATTTCTGTTTAATAGATGAGGAAATTGAGGCTCATGAAATAAGGTGACTTGCCCCAGGCTGAACAGCAAGAGTCATTGATTTGGGAATAGAATGCAGGTCTTCTGTCTTCTTGTTCAGTAATTTCTCTACTGTACACATACTTCTTGGAACAGATCCATTCTTATTGTTTTTACTTTCTCATTTATGAAACACTTCAAGATGATTCTTCTGGAAATGAGTTTTGTGGAGAGCAAACTGGGGAGTTTTCCCCACAATCAGCAGTCTCAACTGTTTTCGTGTAAAAGCAAGTAGCAGGAAGAATGTAGAAATAGATCTCATAGCTAAGATATTCGAGTGAGAAGATGTGATTTTATAAAGTATTTTGGAGCATTTCCTTTTTGGTTATTTTGCATTTGAGGTGGGGTATTAGTTGACTTATCACTGTCATCAGTAAATATTTAATAGCACATGCTGCTGCTAAGTTGCTTCAGTCGTGTCCGACTCTGTGCAGCCCCATAGACGGCAGCCCACCAGGCTCCCCCATCCCTGGAATTCTCCAGGCAAGAATACTGGAGTGGGTTGCCATTTCCTCCAGCCAGCTAATGAGGATTTCCCCCAGAGTCAGACAGTTCAGTAGCTGGTGAAAAACAGTTGGATGCTGTTTATCCTCTGAAGACTGCTAGATATAAAGTTTAAACATTTGGTTCAGAAATACAAAAGCAAAGAGAACTAAAGACTGGAGATAATGGCCTTTGCCTTCCAGTAGATTTCACTTGTGAATTCAAACACTTTCTAAAACCTCAGGAGAGAAATTTCTGTCTTGGAAGCCAACTAAGTCTCAGAAATCTGTCCCATTAGACAGAAGTCCTAGAGCTGAGGGAATGGGAACAGTGTGTCCTGTCCACAGAGGTGACAGAGTTTTTTCAGAGTTGTCCTCAGCAAGTCATAAGCAGCCTCTGTGGAACTGGGGGGCTCTGCCTGAGGCACAGATCAGATCTCCATAGGTGTAATCATTTTAGTTTTGGTCATAAGGTGTTTGCTTCAACACCTGATAGCAAAGGTATTTGTTTTTCCAAAGCTCAGTGTGGCCTTTTAAAAAGGCTATGTAAAAAATGGCAGTGTGCGTTTCTTTAAAAAGCCTTCTTAGTTGCAAATTGTGTTTATTCCCCTGGAAATACTGGTGTGTCAGGATAACACTTCCCCTCATCCCCCTGTGAGACTCTTGTCAGTGCTGCTGAAATATACAAACCAAAGCCATTGGTGTCTGTGTGGACGTGAGACACTACAGTGTCTGAGTGAGACATGGATATACTGCTGGGTTTTGAGGTGACATCCTGGTCACTAAGTAGCTGACCAGAAAGGCCTTGTGTCACTGTTTTCAAGTAATATTTATCCAACTCCAGCTCATGGGCAAAGTCAATTTCTTTGTCAACTTCTTGTCGTGTTTTTACTTTATACTCACTGAGTCTCTGAAAGAAATCTGTTTCCAGATATCTTGGTCATCAATATTAAAGATACTTGGGAATATTCTGACCTGATCATTCCCACTTTCTAGATGTAATGCCTTTGTTTTCCTTCTAACCTCGTAGTCAGAGTAAGGCTGCAGAGATAACAAATGGTTATAAACATGATTTTAACTCTTTTTTTTTCCCTAAAAAGACTGGAAATGGGAGAAACAGAAAGAACAACCCAAAGAATACCAACAAATCCTACAGTGCTTCTTAGATAGAAAAGACTGTTGCTACTCTATCCATCAAATGGGTAAGGTCACATGAGTAGTTTAAAGACTGTCTCTCTGTTGCATAGTCCAATTAAGAGGAAAGAAACACTGTGAAATTCAGTTTACTTTGCCTGTACTTGCTTTTCTTTTTTTTTAATTTAAAATATTTTATATCTTGTGCGATGTTTCGTTTCAGCACATGGAATCTTTTAGTTGTGGCATGTGAACTTAGTTGCATCAGTTCCCTGACTAGGAATTGAACCCAGGTCACCTGCATTGGGAGCTCAGAGTCTCAGCCCCTGGGGCACCAAGAAAATCCCTGTACTTGCTTTTCTTGTCCCCTGCTTTATATGTGGCTCCACTAAGTCATCTTTCTACTTAATTATTTATGCAAAAAATTAGGAGTTTGTGGTTTGTTGGAAGACCTTTCGCTAACATGTTTATTTTTTCCACATGAAAACAGCACAGATGGGCGTAGGAGAAGGGAAATCAATCGGCGAATGGTTTGGACCAAATACAGTTGCACAAGTGTTGAAGTAAGTAAAAAGGTTGGGCATGAGCCTTATTCTACTGTCTCCTAGGCTTGCCTCCACCAACTCGGTATCCCATCAACCAAAGCAGTTCTTGCCATCCCACTGAGCCACCAAACATCTGTACCATTTTGCTCAAATACTTCTTTGAAGTGTGTAATGTGTGTGGACAACTGTCTTTGTTTATCAGAGTTGTAGTCATGAGTACCAGTCCAGATAGCGGCCCCTCAGGACTCATTCCATATCCCCTTGATAGATTGGTGCTCAGACACTCAACTGTCAGCCTAAGGGTCACTTTGAAGCCAAAGGGTGTGTACTAAGGAGGAGGGGGAAGCCTGAACCAGCCTAGAAAAGGCACAGACTCCCACCTTGTATGGTATTTTAAAAAATCTTCATTGATTCATTCAACATTTATTGGGCACCTCTACTATGCTAAGTATTGGGTGTACAAAAATAAACTAAGTATAGTTCTTGCTTCAAGGAATTCACTACCTATTGGAAGACACAAACCCCAAGGGAGTCCTGGAATGAGTTTGTCACCTTTTAGTAAACTCAGGGTACCCCAGCATGGTCCTTTTGCCATTGTCCTATTAAGTCCCAGAATTCACCTCCCACAGCAAGAGGACCAATGCTTTGGAAATGAATGGGGTGGAGTGGCATTGGCACTTACACCCACGGACCACCTCACCTATTGTCACTCTCCTTCCTGACAGCCTATCACCAAATGGAAACTCCATGAGGGCAGAAATCTTGTTTTCCTTGTTCACTTCTGTAACATTAGCACATGAAACTGCCTTGTACCTGTAAGTGCTCAATAAATACCCGATAAATGAGTGAATGAAAATGGCAGCCAGAGTTTGATGCTGATTTAGGCATCAGAAAATCGAAACCATCTAGCCTTCTTTGGTTGCTACTTTAATTCTTGGGCTCTCTGGAGCATGATGACAGGACCTGCTTCATGTAAAATACAAATGGGGCACTGTTTCAGTTATTAGCCAACCCTCAGTGAACTAGAGTGTTTTGGAAATGTGCTTGTGAGGGGAGCAGTCTGGATTTTTTGGGGACCAAGTGAAACCTGGTATCTTGGAATCACCCTTTGCTAATAGTGCAGCCTCTTTGTGACCACTTTCTTACTTTAGTCTGTAGTGCCTTTTGGGGCATTGTTGATCAGGTAAGTGAGGATCTGGTGGTATTTCAGGAACCACTGCAAGAAGCCAGGGTAGAAAGTATAAAAAATTAGAATGGCTGTGCTGATCCCAAAACCTAGTTTGATATGGTTGGTTTATAAATGACATCCTTCAGAATTTGCTTCTTTCTTCTAAAATTTGAACTTCCCAACAACAAGTAAATGGAAACATACATTTAGAAAAGAATTTAGGTGGATTCTTACTCATCATGAATATTATTATCAGGAACAGCAGTATGTGATAATAATGATTATGTTATTATTATTTTGGGGAAAGATACAATGAATGAAATGAAAATATAATGGTAACTAACCTCTTATTGGGAGCTACTTTAGTTTGGGAGAGAATGTGTTTTTGTTTCATTTTGTTGGTCGTTGAGACTGGGCTTTACCCCAGAATCCCATAGTAGCCAGGTTAAAAATGTCTTCTTCAAACTGGCAAGAGAAGAAAATAAGGGAGAAATAGACAACATATTTTACTCAGATAATCTCTCTTTTAAACTGGTTTTCTTTCTAATCTCCTCTGAAAGTGAAAGTCGCTCAGTTGTGGCCAGCTCTTTGCAACCCCATGAACTATACAGTCCATGGAATTCTCCAGGCCAGAAGACTGGAGTGGGTTGCCACGCACTCCTCCAGGGGATCTTCCCAACCCAGCAATCAAACTGGGGTCTCCTGCATTGCAGGTGGATTCTTTACCAGCTGAGCCACCAGGGAAGCCTCTGAAGTCACGTAATTCAGCATGCTCTATGGCTGTATGTCTTCAGTTCTTGACCAACAAGGCCCAGCAAGTCTGCTGGGACAACATTCTTACCGCACTTGGGGAGGGACTGAAGAGATCATCTCCTCTATATGTTTCTCTCTCTCTCTGGATTTCCCTGGGACTTATTCTTCATATTATATATGCTTCCAAACAAATACACACACACACACACACGTGTGTGTGTGTGTGTGTGTGTGTGTATGTGGTCATGCTAAGTCACTTCAGTTGTGTCTGACTCTTTGCAACCCCATGGACTGTAGCCCGCCAGACTCCTCTCTCCATCAGGATTTCCAGGCAAGAATACTGGAGTGAGTTTCCATGCCCTCCTCCAGGGGGTCTTCTCAACCCAGGGATCGAAACTGGGTCTCCTGCATCTCCTGCATTGCAGGCAGATTCTTTACCTGCTGAGCCAATAGGGAAGCCCATATATATACACACATATTTTTTTAAGTAGCAGTTTTATTTTTTTTTCAAGTGGTAAGGCAGAATGTCTCACATTTAAGAAAAGAAAACAAAATCTCTTGGGAGCAGATGTACTGGTCCTCTTTGCCCAGTAGGAGTAACATCATTTTGCGAGGCAGCCTGTTCCATTTTATAAAGCAAGGCCTTCTTTCTGAGGTTCAGAAACAGTGACTCTGGCATTTTCAAAGTCCCTGGACATGGAATATTTCAGAGCTCGGGCAGAGGAGCCAGACCTGACCTGAATCCCACAGAGAGAACAACTTCTGTGTGGTTCAGCATTCAGTAACTTCTGCAACACTGGACATGCATAGGTGGTACTGTTTTCTGCCGAGATGTCCATCTTCCCCAATTGTGACTTCACTGTATGTTGCTTTGCAGAAAACTTGCTTTATTTGATGAATGGAATTCCTTGGCTGTTTATGTTTCAATGGATAACACCGTGGTCATCGAAGATATCAGTGAGTCCTCGGCCGGTTTACCTTCTCAGGTGGTTGGGTATAGAGGTTCTTCTTTACCATTCAGAACATGTAGGGGGAAGAAAGGGAGAAAGAAAGAAAGTGAGAGAGAGAGAGACAGAGAAAGAATAAACACACACACGCTCTCTCTGGCCTGCCTCTCTAGCAAGACAGGGGAGCACAGGGCTCTGGTTAATCATTCCCTGTGCCCTTTTTTCTCTTCCCTTTCAGCTTTCTGAAAGGGGAAAAAATGAGAGGATCTTTGGTGCCCCTCAGTGAAGTACCAGATTCTTTTCCTGCAGGACACCCCAAGTGCAGATAATCAGTTAAACCACCCATGGGTCTTCTCTGGCCTTCCCCCTCCACTGTACTCCCCAACATGGAGCTTGAGATACCAACAGATACAGTCCCTGTTTCCAAGGCCCTTGTAGCGTAGTTGACAAATGAGATTCTCCCAATGAGCCCATCATATCTGAGGAGACACAAGGAGTGTTCAGTTGCCAGAAGGAAGAGAAGTAAGGGCTGGACCAGTACCCTGGGCTTCCTGTAGCAAGGGCAGCAGGGCCCGGGTGGCAGCGGGATGGGCCTTCCAGGTGGGGGCTGTCATGTCAGGTCTCCCTTAGTCTTGCCCATGGTGCATCTCTTAGGGCTGGGTACCCCTTTTTTATCTAGCCCTGTCTTTTGTTTTTAGAAAAAATGTGCCGCACACTGTCCTTGAGTGCTGACATACCTGCTGAGAGGCCCCTGGAGTCTCTGACTGCTTCCACCCAGAGTAAGGGCCCCTCGGCCTGCTGCACGGCCTGGAAACCCTTGCTGCTTATTGTGCCCCTCCGCCTAGGCATAAACCAAATCAACCCTGTCTATGTTGACGCCTTCAAAGTAAGTCACACCTTTCCCCAAGCCACCTGTGGCCCACCCATCCCACCACCATCGTGAGCATGGAGATCCGTGAGCAGCAGTCCACAAGTGAGCTGAGAATCTTGCGTTCTCTTTCCCTCCAGGAGTGTTTTAAGATGCCACAGTCTTTAGGGGCATTAGGAGGAAAACCAAATAACGCCTATTATTTCATAGGATTCTTAGGTAAGAAAAGAGTAATCACAAGTAAGTCACTGTGGGCTAGGGGAGGGCGGGCACAACAAGGTCTGCGTGGAAGACCAGGCAATTCCAATTAGGAGGCCCTGGCCTAGCCTGGAGATGCTGTGGCCTGTGGGCAGCTCATCTTGCCTCTAGCCTGGAGAGTAACACCTACCTGTGCCTCACAGAGACCAGTGTCTCCGTCTCTTTGCCTCTCAATGTGATGGTTCCATGGCTGTGTTCACACTGGACGACCCCAAGGTCACAGCATTGCTTCAGCACCTCTTTTTCCCTCTGGGACCCAGGGTGGCAGGGCTTCACTTCCCTGGCCTTGCCAATCCCCTTCTTACTGGAGCTTGGGCATTCAGGCCAGGAGCCATCCTCTGACTTCCCAGGACCACACAGCTGGGCCTGCTAGCTTTTTGTTCAGAGGCTTGACTAGGTGGGAATTAGAGAACGTGAAGACAGAGGTATCCCTTTTCTGATAATGGAGGCTCAGTCTTAAAGCAACTAACCTAATGTGGATCCTGATGAGCAGCCTGACATTCCTGCCTCAGTGGACACGTCTGGAAACCCCGCCATCTTCCTCACCAGCTGTGACCAGAAATATTAAAGGCCCTTGGCACACAAAAGGAGCAGCCTGGCTCTTCTCAAACTTTCAAGTGCACATGAATCACCTTGAGATTAACATGCAGGTTCAGCAGATCTGGGGTGGGGCCTGAAAGCCTGCATTTCTTACTAGGTAGAGCAGGTGCTGCTGGTGCCACACTTTGAGTATCAAGGGCCTAGATACCTGGTTAGTGCCGCAGAGTAAGGGAGTGATGCGGCCAGGGAAGCGGAATACCGCCACCTCTGGCAGGAGTGGGCTTTGAGGAATTTAGGAGTTTAGGGTACAAAGGAGAGCCAGAGCAGGCATGGGGAATGGTGTGAGGGATGTGCAGAGGACATGGTGAGATGAGCTTGGCCACCCTCCCAACCCATTTCTTCCTCAGAGATTCAGGGAGGTAAGGTGAGTGGGAACAGACAGACCTGGCCCCTGTATGTGGCCTGCCTCCCGCTGGCTTGGTGTGTGACAGTAGGAAAAGAGAGTCAACTCTTTCAGTCTTAGGCTCCCTTTATGGAAAATAGGGCTGACCCCCAGCTCACCATGTTGTCACCTCACAGTAAAGCACTCAGTAAAGAGCCAGCCTGACCCCAATGCTTCTTTCAGCTGCTTACTCTTCTCTCCTTAAGGTGGGGTTTCTCTGCGGTTGCTGGGTTCACTCTTGAATGCTGTCACCTCCTGGTCGAGCTTAAGAACTACAGCTTGATGGAACATTTGAAAAGTAGAGGCTTTTACTTTAAGTTCAAAACCCAGTATTTGGAGTTTTATAAATTTAGATGTTCTCTGTTTCTAAGCTTCTGGGTTCCTGTCAAAAAAAAAACTGCTGCAAAAATCTATTTCCTATTGTCTGTGCTTGAAGACAAACTGAAAACAGATTGGAAAATAATTGTGGAGGGATCTCAATGAATTCCTGGGCACCCTGGCCTCCTTATCCCAGGTTACCCAGAGAGAATTTGCCAAGTTGCCATAGCCCTCCATCTCTTGGGGGGGCCCTGGGCTGGGGAGACTTTGGTGGAGTTGGACTGCTTATGAAAGAGGTGTGACAATCCCCAGTTCCCAAAACAGAGGTTTACATAGTGTCCATTTGCCCATTAATTTCATAAATCTTTTGTTTAACCTTTACTTGAGGCTCCAAAGTCATCTCAACTCCCCCTTTCTGACTCACCCTGTTACTGTATTAGGTTTGGGGTGGGGGACCAGATTGACAGAATGTCTTAAGGGAGGGGACAGATGAGAGCTTCCATTTTCTGAACCAGGAACTCTACAGAGGGTACTCTGTCTTTCTCCATCCCCCTTTCTCTCTCCATGTATGTATATGTGTGTGTGTGTGTGTGTATATATATATATATATACACATATATAATGATATATGTATCATTATATGTGTACACATATAATGGCTTCCCCAATGGCTCAGCAGGTAAATAATCTGCCTGCAGTGCAGTAGATACAGGAGATGCAGTTCGATTCCTGGGTCAGGTAGACCCCCTGGAGGAGGAAATGACAACCCACTCCAGTATTCTTGCCTGGAGAATTCCATGGACACAGGAGCCTGGTGGGCTACAGTCCATGGGATCACAAAGAGTCTAACACCACTGAGCACACATACTGATCATTATATTGTTTATGATATATAAATATATATTTATATAATATGTTGAAATATAAATACATTTATAGAGAGATACAGATTAGTATCAATATTTATATAGAGATGGGGCTTCCCTGGTGGCTCAGTGGTAGAGTCTGCCTGCAATGCAGGAGATAACAGGTTCAATCCCTGATCCACGAAGACCCCCTGGAGAATGAAATGGCAACCCACTCCAGTATTCTTGCCTGGGAAGTCCCATGGACAGAGGAGCCTGGTGGGCTACAGTCCATGGAGTCACAAAAGAGTTAGACACAGCTTAGTGACTAAGCAACAAGAATATAGAGATGTATCTAGCTGTAGACAAATAGATAGATAGGGTTAACCCTGAGGGGTAGAGATCATTATTTCCATTTATGCCTAGTGGAAAACTTAGAGGGGTCATTTCCTCAAGGTCACTGAGCTTAAAAGTAGCAAAGCCAGAATTTGATCCCAACTTGGCTGTCTGTGCTAACATACCCCGTTGCTTCCCTAGTGCTCTCTTGCCCAGTAGGAAGCTGGGAGATGCTCCTGGTGTACAAGACTGTGGCCAGGGTGACAGCCTGGCTGGGTGATTTTTTCTACTTAGAGATGTTTGTCTCCTGTGGTTTGGTAGAGGGTGCCACCTGGAGTCTCTGTCACATGAACTGGGTGTCTACAGATGGTGGACTTGCCTGCTCCTTCTTCTCAGGCCTCATTGGAGCCCTTGATACAGTCCCCATGTCATTTCTAGGGCTTTTTCAATCTACTGTATCTCTTTTAAGCACTGTCAGAAATAGGCCAGGCAACAGAGCTCCACTACACTCATACATACATACACATACATATACACACACACACACACATGGAAAAGGGCCAGACTCAAGAGAGGACACTGTAATTATTCCCAGTACCTTAAACCAAAGGCTTTGCTGGTGGCTCAGCACTAAAAGAATCTTCCTGCCAATGCAGAAGATGCGGGATCCTCTGGAGGAAGAAATGCTTCCTTTCCTGTCAAAGATTAACCACTGGTTTGAACTAAAAACTTGGGCTAGTCAGTACATTACTTTGTTTGCGTAAGTCTGTGATCCACATCTACTGACCAAGTCCTGACCAAGCCAGACACATGGCTGTGCAGTTTTTGAATGAACATGTGGGTGTGCTTAGTCACTCAGTCCTGTCTGACTGACCCCATGTTTGCAACCCCATGGACTGTAGCCTGGCAGGCTCCTCTGTCCATGGGGATTCTCCAAGCAAGAATACTGGAGTGGGTTGCCATGCCCTCCTCTAGGGGATCTTCCCAACTCAGGGATTGAACCCAGGTCTCCCAAGTTGCAGACGGGTTCTTTACTGTCTGAGCCACCAAGGAAGCCCAAATGAATATGAACTCATGCAAAAAAATCACATAATAAGGCTGTTTTACAGAAGAGTCAATTCACTCAGATCATTTAAGGGGATTCCCTGCTGGCTCAGACAGTAAAGAGTCTGCCCAAAATGTGGGAGACCCGGGTTCAATCCCAGGGTCAGGAAGATCGCCTGGAGAAGGAAATGGCAACCCACTCCAGTATTCTTTCCTGGAAAATCCCATGGGTGGAGAAGCCTGGCAGGCTACATACCATGGGATTGCAAAGAGTCTGAGCAAGATACATCCTGCATTTGTATTGTATTTCAAGCAGTTCACAGAAGTGAGATCTTCCCATTCTGATAATACTCTTTAAACTAACAGTGATCCCAGTTTAAAAAAAAATTAAGGCAGAGTGGAGTGGTTTGTCTTAGGTCTGTAATAGAGACAAATTAAACTTGGCATCAGACATCAGATACACTCTTTGCCAACAGAAGCACTTAGATGTACCCAACACAATCCTGAATGCCATTCCAAAGACTTTTGGGGTGTCCCTCCCTACCCCATCCCCCTGCCTCAGGCAGATCTCTCTTTGCTTCCCTAACCCAGTCTAGAACACAGAGGCCAAGTTGGTTCTCAGGCCTGGACAGTGAGATTGGGGTGCCCCCTTAGGTACATCAGCTCATGATCTTTAGTGGTACTCTCAAACCTTTGAATATCAGATAAAAATAGAGATTTTATTATCCCAACCCCCCCCCCAAGTCATTATTGGGCTAGACATTTTCCATTTGATGAAGCATCGTTTTTTTCTCCCATTTGTAACAGCTGATCATCTCAAACTGAGTTTTCCCAGTGAGGTGTATCTGTGCTGATACTCATGTGACCAAGCAGTGCCTTCTGACAGGAACTACTGACTTTCTAACACTGACTAACTTGCTAACGAATTAAGACCAGAAGTCACCTCCCTGGTATCTTGTCTGTGGCACAGTCAGCATTCCCATTTCTTTGGGAAGTCAAGGCCTTTTTCTTGCCCAGATGTGCTCTTTGACCATAGGTCTAAGAACCTATGGTCTAGAGCAAGATGCTTTCCAGTGTTGAAAGAGTCAGGAAGCTTCCCTAATGGCACCTGGACTCATGGCCTGGTGATTCCACCTACCACCTCTTGGCTACTGCTGCTCACCGAGCCCGCCATGTCATCTGTGGTTTCTCATTCCTCCCTTGTCCCCAAACCTGTCCCTTTCCATTTTTGTACTTGTACTTTGAGGAGATGTAAATGCTAGGACAAATCTTTACATGGAATGATTGGCTTTGGGGGTGTGTGGCTTCCTTCAAGCATGTCCTTCAGGCTTTCTGTTATCTCATTCCCATTGTCACCAAGGGAGGGATTAGGACAACCAGAGTGACCCTTCCAAGGACAGCAGTGGGGCCAGGGTGGGTGATTCTTCAAAGGCTAATCAGATCTCATTCAAAACAGGTGATGAGCTCATTTTCCTGGACCCTCACACAACCCAGACCTTTGTTGACACTGAAGAGAATGGAACAGTTGACGACCAGACTTTCCATTGTCTGCAACCCCCGCAGCGGATGAACATCCTGAACTTGGATCCTTCCGTAGCATTGGTTGGTATCTGAAGGTTGGGTGGGCCAAGAGACACACTGCTGCCCTATCACAGTTTGGTTCCCTGGGAGTTACCCAGGTTGCTAGGTAGAATGGCAAGAGAATATTTGCTTCCCACGCCCATGAAAGGTAGTGTCATGTAGTGTAGCAGGGAAGGAATGGGCCCTGAGGCCGAGTTGCTTGAGTTAGGATCCAAGTCACTTACCAGCTATGGACTGAGCGGGAGTCCCTCCTTAACTTTTCTGAGCTTTGACCTTCTCATCCCTCCCATGGGCAAAACAATAGCTCCTTCCTTGTAGGCTTGTGTGAGGTATGCTATGTGTAAGGTACTTAGCACAGTGCCCAGCATATTGTAAGCATTCTAGAAATGTTGGTTATTATTACTATTACCATCTTTCTCCCTTTTCCTTCTTACCCCCTAAATATTGCCACCCAGGCCCAGGGAATAAGGTGAGACATCGGGAGGGATAAGGGGGCAAGACCTCCTGGGTGGAAAATGTCCATTCCTCTGGGCACACAATCCAGGAAGTTGCAGGGTTCCCCCCACCCACCCCCAGAAGTATGTCTGCTGTCGACACATGGAAAGGGCTAGTCTGGGAACTAGCTAGTGGTTCTGAGGCCTTTCTGAATCCTCTCCTCCAGTTTAACTTGATTGTCAGAGTGCCAGTGGTAGAGAGCTGACAGAGTCCTCCTCTTGTTTTGGACCATTCTTTTAGTACTATAGGATGTTCTGAGGATGGATAAAGAGGCCCATGGTTCTCTTTATTCTAACAGATAATTTCCTTAAGGTCAAAGCCACCTTACTAATTAATGACTCTAGTTAAAAGTACTATTTGGCTTTTGTCTGCTGGTTTTATTGCATTGTTTTTTTCTAGGTAGGTATATTTGTGCACTGAATGTAATGGAATTAACCATGTGCTTTGGAGATTGGTCTTCATGTTAGTATATCTCACAGTGTGAAGTAGGAGAGACAGGGAGGAAAAGGGATATGGTAAAAGGGAAAGGGACAGAATAAGAGCGAGAAGCAGAGAGAGAGAAAATATGAATGTGTGTGTCCTAGTGAGGCACTGATCTGGGAGAGTGATAAACTCAATCTTCCTCCTTATTGCTGGGAGGATAGATCCAAAGGAAGTGGCCCACATGTTGTGTCACAACTCTGGACCAATGGCTCCATCTTGCAATATATAAGGCCTGCCTTGGTATGCCTGACCAGTTCTTCTTTTTTTAAATTGGAATATAATTGCTTTACAATGTTGTATTAGTTTCTGCTGTACAACAATGTGAAGCAGCTATATGTATACATATATCCCCTCCTTCTTGAACCTCCCTCCCACCCTCCACATCCCACCCCTTTTGGTCATCACAGAGTACCAAGCTGAGCTCCCTGTGCTATACAGCTGCTTCCCACTAGCTATCTGTTTTACACATGGTGGTGTACATATGTGTGTGTGTGTGTATATATATATATATATGTATATATACACATGTATACATATATATATATATGTCAATTCTAATCTCCAAATTCATCCCACCCTCACCTTCTCCCCCACTGTGTCCACATGTCTGTTCTCTACATAGGAGGGCATTTTTTGAGGCAAGATAATTTTGGATGAATAACAAATTAGAGAAGGGACATTCATATATAAATGGCCAATAGGGAACTGGAGATATGAGATGTGTAGTGTATATATGACATGAACAGTTCTAAGTTGTCTTTGCTTTCCCCCAAGGGGTTTTTCTGCAAAGAAGAAAAAGACTTTGATAGCTGGTGTAGCCTTGTTCAGAAGGTAAAGATCTCTGTTTTTCTCAGTCTTAAAAAAAAATGTTTTTCAACATAATTCCTTTCCAAGATGGTTTTTCATAGTAACAAATCCAACCTGATATGACTTTATTGCATGAGAAAGAAACTAAGATATGGGGAATTATACAGAACTTTGGGAAAACCAAAGGAAAACTTTGGTTTGAAATATGCTTACTTTGTCAAATGAGCGATATTTTTAGCTACTGAATGTTCCATCTCATTGAAGTTATGATTCAATGAAATCTTCAACTAATTACCATTTTAACCTAAAAATATCACCTTCATATAGGTCAGCCTAAATTCTTCTATACTCTGATTATAACACTGAGATGGTTGGATAAACCAAACTACTTTTCTATTTGTTTCATGGTCCATTTACAGTTTAGTGTATTCCATTATGGTTTAAAGGGCTTACCTTTCTAGTAACAGTTTTATTTATATATTGATAAAATATAGACACACTGCCACTTAAAGGAAACACAGTTTGCAGAAGTCTGTGTAAATATGAAAGCAAGCTATTCTTTTTTCTTGGACATTTTATGTCAAAAGATATTTATTGTTCTGCTGGCTCCTAATCTTTGTATCTGCCTCCCTCATCCTTCGCTTCTAACACATGTCAATTTTGTGGGAGACATTGATCAATGGTTATTGAAAGAATGAAGGGAAATCATAGGGAGCAGTTTAAAGAGCCCTGGTTGGGGTGGCAGGAGACATAATGTTCTCTTATCTGCAAAACAGAGGGGTTGGAGAGATGGGATCCAAGAGCCTCTCCTAAGTGTAAGGATGGAGGATTTTTCTTCACAGGTAAACAAATAATTAATTCCAAAGTCCCCAGCTGAAGCTGAAACCCCAGTTAATAATTGACTGAGACATCATGGAGAATTATTTTCTAAAATTAGTTCAGAATGCAGAAAAACTGTATATCACATTTAACATTAGAAAGAAAGATTTCTGATAAGACCAAGATCTTTAAATTAGGACATATACCATATGTCTTGGACTAAAACTGAACCCATGCCAACATGTACTGATGTTCTTTGGGGGCAAATTTAATTTAATTAACCCACATTTCTTTGGAGCCAACACTTCAGGAACATCTTATCCCTAAATTGAGTTGGTCCCATGCAACTGGCAAATGACCTGAACCTTATGATGGAGCATGGGCAGTGGGTACTGGCCTTCCATCAGATCCTCCCACCAGTATCCTTCCTTCCCTGGCCAACAGTATCTAGAATTGAAGAGGGCTGGATCTTCAGATGGGTCTGGTACAGGATGGGTATATTTGTTAAGCCTGTGCTTTCACCTTTCAATAACCAGATCACTCTCTTGGGGTTTGGAGTCATATATTGCCAATTGGACAGAAATGTAGTGGCTCTGCAGTGTTTACAACTGATTTATGTCTCCTCAGGAAATTCTAAAGGAAAATTTAAGGATGTTTGAATTAGTTCAGAAACATCCATCACATTGGCCTCCCTTTGTTCCTCCAGCCAAGCCAGAAGTAACAACCACAGGGGCAGGTAAGCTGTTGTTCAGAAGCTCTCTGGCCAGCAGACCCTTGGATAGCAGTTGTTCTATGAGACAGAAGCAATTATGGGTCATGCTTTCTGTGGAATGAAAATTTCTACTCAGTTGGACTGATCAAGGAATGGTATTTCTTCTGATGAACTGATACTTAGCAATTTCAAAGAATAATAGTAAAAGAAAATGAGCTCCATGGAAAATCAAAATGAGTAGAATTTCTTTTTTTTAATGGTCTGGTTTAGGAAACAAATCAGAGGACATGGGTAATTCAAAAGGTTCCTCACAGATCTTACAGAGCCTCATCTTCATCCCTGTGAACAGGACTGTGTAACAAGTCCAGTTCATTTCTTTTTTTAATTGATGTATAGTTGATTTACAGTGTTGTGTCAATTTCAGGTATACAGTAAGGTGATATATATATACACACACACACATATATATATATGTAGTTTTTCAGTTTATTTTCTATTATTGGTTATTATAAGATATTAAATATAGTTCCTTTTGCTATACAGTAGGTTCTTATTTATTTATTTTATATATAGTAGTATATATCTGTTAATCCCAAACTTCTAATTTATACCCCCCCTTTCCCCTTCTGGTAACCATAAATTTGTTTTCTATGTCTGTGAGTCTATTTCTATTTTATAAATAAGGTCGTTTGTATCATTTTTTAGATTCCACATGTAAGTGATATCATGTGGTATTTACCTTTCTCTTTCTGACTTAGTTTACTTTGTATGATATTCTTTAGGTCCATCCATGTTTCTGCAAATGGCATTATTGCATTCTTTTTTATGGCTGAGTAATATTCCATTATATATACATGCATGTGTGTGTATACATATATTATATATACACACCATATCTTAATTATCCATTCACCTGTACATGGGCATTTAGGTTGCTCCTATGTCTTCACTATTGTAAATAGTGCTGCTGTGACCATTGGGGTGCATATATCTTTTTGAATTAGATTTTTCATCTTTTCTGGATCTATGCCCAGGAGTGTGACTGCTGGATCATATGGTAACTCTATTTTTAGTTTTTTAAGAAACCTCCACACTGTCCTCCATAGTGGCCACATCAATTTACATTCTCAGCAACAGTATAAGAGGGATCCCTTTTCTCCATACCCTCTCCAGCAACTATTATTTGTAGATTTTTTGATGATGGCCATTCTGAGCAGTGTGAGGTGATACTTCATTGTAGTTTTAATTTGCATTTCTCTAATGCTTAGTGATATTGAGCATCTTTTCATGTGCCTGTTGGTCATTTGAATGGCTTCTTTGGAGAAATATCTATTTAAGTTTTCTGCTTACTTTTTGATTGGGCTGTTTGTTTTTTGATACTGAGCATATGAGGTGTTTGTGTACTTGAAAGTTAATCCCTTGCAGTCACATTATTTGCAAATATTTTCTCCCAGTCCATAGGTAATCTTTTCATTTTGTTTACAGTTTCCTTTGCTGTGCAAATGTTTTTAAGTTTAATTAGGTCCCATTTGTTTATTTTTACTTTGGTTTCCATTACTTTAGGAGACAGATCCAAAAAAATATTGCTGATATTTATGTCAGAGTGTTCTGCCTATGTCTTCCTCTAGGAGTTTTATAGTATCCAGTCCTACACTGAGGTGTTTAATTAATTTTGAGTTTATTTTTTGTATATGGTATTAGAGAATATTCTGATTTCATTCTTTTTCATGTAACTGTCCAATTTTCCCAGAACCACTTATTGAGGGAACTGTCTTTTCTCCATGGTATATTCTTGCCTCCATTGTAGTAGATTGGGCTTCCCTGATAGCTCAGCTGGTAAAGAATCCACCTGTAATGCAGGAGACCCTGATTTGATTCCTTGGCAGGGAAGATCCACTGGAAAGGGATAGGCTACCCACTCCAGTATTCTTAGGCTTCCCTGGTGGCTCAGATAGTAAAGAATCTATCTGCAATGTGGAAGACCTGGGTTCGAGCCCTGGGTTGCGAAGATCCCCTGGAGAAGGGAACAGCTACCCACTCCAGTATTCTGGCCTGGAGAATTCCATGGACTGTATAGTCCATGGGATCACAAAGAGTCAGACTCGACTGAGCAACTTTCACTTGTTGTAGATTAATTAACCATAAGTGAGTGCATGGGTTTATTTCTGGGCTTTCTGTCCTGTTCCATTGATTTATGCTTCTGTTTTTGTGCCAGTACCATACTGTTTTGATGACTGTAGCTTTGTAGTATAGTATGAAGTCAGGAAGCATGATTCCTTCAGCTCTGTTCTTCTTTCTCAAGATTGTTTTGTCTATTTGAGGTCTTTTCTGTTTTCACAAATTGAAGTTTTTTGTTCTAGTTTTGTGAAAAATGCCATTGGTAATTTGTTAGGGATTGCATTGAATCTGTAGATTGTGTTGGGTAGTATGGTGTTTTTAAAAATATTAATTCTTCCAGTCCAAGAACATGGTATATCTTTTCATCTGTTTGTGTCATCTTTAGTTTCTTTCACCAGCATCTTATAGTTTTGGGAGTACAGGTGTTTTGCCTCCTTATGTAGATTTATTCCTAGGTATTTTATTCTTTTTAATGTGATAGTAAGTGGGATTATTTCCCTAATTTCTCTTTCTGATAGTTCATTGTTAGTGTACAGAAATGCAACAGATTTCTGTATGTTAATCTTGTACCCTTCAAATTTACCAAATTTGTTGATGAGCTCTAGTAGTTTTCTGATGGCATCTTAAGAATTTTCTATGTATAGTATCATGTCATCTGCAAACAGTGACAGTTTTACTTCTTTCTTTCCAATTTGGATTACTTTTATTTCTTTTTCTTCTCTGATTGCTGTGGCCTGGATTTCCAAAACTATATTGAATAAAAGTGGCAAGAGTGGGCATCCTGAGATCAGGAATGCTTTCAGCTTCTTGCCATTGAGTATGATGTTTACCTGTGTGTTTGTCATATATGGCCTTATAATGTTGAGGTATGTTCCTTCTATGTCCACTTTCTGGAGAGTTTTTATCATAGATGGATATTGAATTTAATCAGAAGCTTTTTCTGCATCTATTGAGATGATCATATGGTTTTCATTATTTACTTTGTTCATGTGGTATATCACATTGATTTGCAGATATTGAAAAATCCTTGCATCCCTGAGATAAATCCCACTTGGTCATGGTGTGTGATCCTTTCAATGTATTGTTGGAGTCAGTTGGCTAGTATTGTGTTGAGGATTTTTGCATCTATGTTCCTCAGTGATATTGACCTGTAATTTTCCTTTTTGTGTGTGATATCTTTGTTTGATTTGGTGTCTGGGTGTTAGTGGACTCATAGAATGAGTTCAGAAGTGTTTCTACCTCTGCAATTTTTTAGAATAGTTTGAGAAGGATAGCTGTTAACTCTTCTTTAAATGTTTGATAGAATTCACCCGTGATGCTGTCCAGTCTTAGACTTTTGTTTTTTGGGAATTTTTAAATTTCTGATTCAATTTCTGTACTGGTAATTGGTTTATTCATAGTTTCTGTTTCTTCCTGGTTCAGTCTTGGGAGATTGTACCTTTCTAAGAATTTGTCCATTTCTTATAGGCTGTTTATTTTATTGCTATGTAGTTTCTCATAGTAGTCTCTTATGATCTTTTGTATTTCTGTGGTGTCAGTTGTAATTTCTCTTTTTTCACTTCTGATTTTATTGATTTGGGTTCTCTCCCTTTTTTTCTTGATGCATCTGGCTAAAGGTTTATCATTTTTTAAAAATCTTTTCAAAGAACCCGATTTTGGTTTCATTGATCATTTCTTTTTTTTTTTTTAGTCTCTATTTCATTTCTGCTCTGATCTTAATGATTTATTTCCTTCCATAACTTTGGGTCTTGTTTGTTCTTCTTTCTCTAGTTGTTTTAGGTGTCAGTTTAGATTGTCTGAGATTTTTCTTATTTTCTGAGGTAAACTTATATTGCTATAAACTTCCCTCTTAGAAGTGCTTTTGCTGCAACCCATAAGTTTTGGATCATTGTATATTCATTTTCATTTGTCCCTAGGTACTTTTAAATTTCCTCTTTGATTTCTTCAGTGATCCATTGGTTGTTTGGTATCATATTGTTTAACCTCCATGTGTTTGTGGATTTTTGCAGTTTTTTTCTTGTAGTTAATTTCTAATCTCAGAGTTCTGGTTGGAAAAGATGCTTGATATGATTTTAGTTTTCTTAGATTTACCAAGGCTCATTTTATGGCCAGGAGAATGTTCCATGTGCACTTGAAAAGAATGTTCTGCTGTTTTTTGATGAAATGCTATATAAATACCGATTAAGTCCATTTGGTCTCATGTGTTATTTTAATACCTGTGTTTCCTTATTGATTTTCTGTCTCAATGATCTGTCCATTGATGTAACTAGAGTGTTAAAGTTCCCTACTATTACTGTGTTACTGTCAATTTCTCCTTTTATAACTGTTATTATTTGCCTTATATATTAAGGTGCTCCTATGTTGGGTGCATATATATTTTCAATTTTTATATCTTCTTTTTGGATGCATTCCTTGAATCCCTTGGTTCATCCCTTATAGTGTCCTTCTTTGTCTCTTGTCACAGTCTTTATTTTAAGTTTATTTTATCTGATATGAGTATTGCTATTCTTGCTTTCTTCTGATTTCCGTTTGTGTGGAATACCCTTTTCTATCCCCTTACTTTCAGTTTGTATACGTCTCTAGATCTGAAGTGAATATGTTGTAGGCAGCATATATACAGGTCTTGTTTTGTATGCATTCAGCCAGTGTGTGTCTTTTGGTTGGAAAAATTTAGTCCATTTGCATTTAAAGTAATTATTGATATGTGTCTTCTTATCGCGATTTTGTTAATGGTTTTGGATTTGTTTTTGCAGGTCTTTTCCCCCCTTTTTCTTCTTTTGTTCTCTTGTGATTTGATAACTACCTTTAGTGTTATGTTTGGATTCCTTCTTTTTTGTGTGTTTTAGATTAATCTATTATAGATTTTTTGGTTTGTGGTTTTTGTATAAGTCTGTATATAAATGTGACTGTTTTAAGTTGCTGATCTCTTAATTTCAAATGCATCTTAACATACTGTGCATTTGTTCTTTCCTCCCCTCATGATTACTGTTTTTGATATCATATTTACATCTACTTGTTTTTTGAATCCTTTATCTGCTTATTGTAGATACAGGTGACTTTACAAGTTTTGTCTTTTAACCTCCTTACTAGTTTTGTCTGAATGATTTTCTACCTTTACTGTATATTTGCCTTTACCAATGAGCGTTTTCATTTTGTAATTTTCTTGTTCTTATTTGTGATCTTTTTTTTTTTCCACGCAGAGAAGTCCTTTAACATTTATTGTAAAGCCGGTTTGGTGGTGCTGAATTCTTTTCACTTTCCTTTGTCTGTAAAGTTTTTGATTTCTCCATCAAATCTGAATGGGAATCTTACTGGGTAGAATATTCTTGGTTGTAGGTTTTCCCCTTTCATCACTTTAAATATATTGTGTCGCTCCCTTCTGACCTGCAGAATTTCTGCTGAAAAATCAGCTAATAGCCTTATGGGAGTTCCCTTGTATGTTATTTGTTTTCTCTTGCTGCTTTTAGTATTCTCTCTTTATCTTTAATTTTTGTAATTTTCATTACATCATGTCTTGGTGTGTTCCTCTTTGTGTTCATCTTGTATGAGACTCTCTGCAACTCCTGGACTTGGATGCCTGTTTCCTTTCCCAGGTTAGGGAAGTTTTTAGCTGTTATCTATTCAAATATTTTCTCAGGTCTTTTCTCTCTCTGTTCTTCTGGGACCCCTACAATGTATATATTTGGTGCATTTGATGCTGTCCCAGAGATCTCTTAAACTGTCATTTATTTTCATTCTTTTTCTGCCTTTTTTTTTCTGTTCAGCTGTAGTGATTTCCACTGCTCTGTCTTCCTGCACACTGGTCCATTCTTCTGTATCATTTAGTCTACTATTGGCTCCTTCTAGTATATATTTTTTGCATTTCTTTTTTTAAATTAATGTATTTTTTATTGAAGGATAATTGCTTTACAGAATTTTGTTGTTTTCTGTCAAACCTCAACATGAATAAGCCATAGGTATACATCTTCTAGTATATTTTTCATTTCAGTTATTGTATTCGTCATCTCAGTTTGGTTGTTCTTTATATTTTCTCTTTGTTAAAAACTAATTTCTCACTCTTTGCATCCATTCTCTTCTCAAGTTCTTTGATCATCTTTATAATCATTACTCTGAACTGTTTCTTGAGTAGATTGCCTATCTCCTCTTCACTTCATTCTTCTGGAGTTTTATCATATTCCTGTGTCTGGAATATATTCCTCTGCTGCCTCATTTTGCCTATGTTGCTATTTGTATTTTTATGTCTACGGTAGGTTAGTTACATTTCTCAACTTTGGAGAAGTGGCCCTCTGAAGGAGGCATCCTATGTGTCCCAGAAGTGCACTCCTCTCTCGTCACCCAAGCTGTGTGCTCTAGGTGCTCCCCCTGTGAGGGCTGTTTGGTTCTTTCTGTTGTGGTGGGCTGACTCTGTGGGCCATCTACTAGATTAGTTGGCATTAAGTCTGGTTGGTTGCCAGGCCCTGCCTTGTCCACGTTCTGCTGGTTGCTCTTTAGTGGGGCCTGGTCATGAGGTGGCTGACTGCAGAATCCAAGGGGGCCCAAGGGCTAGTGCTGGCTCACTGGTGGCTGGAGTCAGGGTACTGAAGACTCTGGGGCTGTGTCAACTAATGGCGGAGGTTAGTGCTAGATTACTGGCAGGCAGAGCTAGTTCCTGTAGTATGGCTGCTGGGCCCAGGGATCCCAGAGCATGTTTCAAATCATTGGTAAGTGGGGGCTAGTTCCTGATACAGTTGGGTATGAGGTCTGGGGTGTCCAAAGGTTTCATTGACCTGCTGTGGGCAGGGCCAGGGCTGAGGTGATCCCAGGGTCAGATCTGGTCTGTGTTGCAGGATGTAGTTTTCTTGCTCCTAGTGCCTGCCCCCTGGTGGATGAGGGTGGTCTAGAGTCTGGTTCAGGCTTCCTAGTGGGAGGGGCCAGGGCCTGTCCACTTGTGGGTGGAGCTGGGACTTGGCCCTCAGATGGGCAGGACCATGTCTAAGGGCATGTCTAGAGGCTGTGGGCTTTCGACTTCTTCAGGCAGCTTGTCTGAAAAGTGGAAGTGTTAGTCTTTCAGTCATGTCCAACTCTTTGGGGCCCCATAGACTAGCTCGCCAGGCTCCTCTGTCCATGGAATTCTATAGGCAAGAGTACTAGAGTGGGTAGCCATTCCCTTCTCCAGGGGATCTTCCTGACCCAGGAATCGAACCTGCATCTCCTGTACCACAGGCAGATTCTTTACCACTGAGCCGCCAAGGAAGCCCTGCCCAATTAGTTATTTGGCCTGAGGTGTCCCAGTGCTGGCACCTACAGGCTGTTGGGTGAGGTCAGGTCTTGGCACTAGTGATCCAGCATGTCAGCTACCAGGAATGTTCATGTGGTTGAATATTCCCAAATATGACTGCCATCAGTGTCTATGTCCCCCTGGTGAGCTGCAGCCTACCCACACCTCTCGAGGAGAGTCTCTAAGACCAGCAGGTAGGTCTGGCCTGTCAGTCAGTCAGTTCAGTCACTCAGTCATGTCTGACTCTTTGCACCCCCATGGACTGCAGCACGCCAGGCTTTCCTATCCATCACCAACTCCCGGGGCTTGCTCAAACTCATGTCCATTGAGTTGGTGATGCCATCCAACCATCTCATCCTCTGTGTCCCCTTCTCCTCCTGCCTTCAGTCTTTCCTAGTATCAGGGTCTTTTCCATTGAGTCAGTTCTTCGCATCAGGTGGCCAGAGTATTGGAGTTTCAGCTTCAGCATCAGTCCTTCCAATGAATACTGCTGCTGCTGCTAAGTCACTTCAGTCATGTTCAACTCTGTGCGACCCCAAAGATGGCAGCCCACCAGGCTCCCCCGTCCCTGGGATTCTCCAGGCAAGAACACTGGAGTGGGTTGCCATTTCCTTCTCCAATGCATGAAAGTGAAAAGTGAAAGTGAAGTCGCTCAGTCATGTCCGACACTTAGTGACCCTATGGACTACCAGGCTCCTCTGTCCATGGGATTTTCCAGGCAAGAGTAATGGAGTGGGTTCCCATTTCCTTCTCTGCTTCCAATGAATATTCTGGACTAATATCCTTTAGGATTAACTGGTTGGATCTCCTTGCAGTCCAAGGGACACTCAAGAGTCTTCCCCAACACCACAGTTCAAAAGCATCAATTCTTCGGCACTCAGCTTTCTTTATGGTCCAACTCTCACATCCATACATGACTACTGGAAAAACCATAGCTTTAAGTAGACAGACCTTTGTTGGCAAAGTGATGTCTCTGCTTTTTAATATGCTGTCTAGGTTGGTCATAGCTTTTCTTCCAAGGAACAAACGTCTTTGAATTTCATGGCTGCAGTCACCATCTGCAGTGATTTTGGAGCCCCCAAGATTAAAGTCTCTCACTGCTTCCATTGTTTCTCCATCTGTTTGTAATGAAGTGATGGGACTGGATGCCATGATCTTGGTTTTTTGAATGTTGAGTTTTAAGCCAACTTTTTCACTCTCCTCTTTTACTTTCATCAAGAGGCTGTTTAGTTCTTTGCTTTCTGCCATACAGGTGGTGTCATCTGCATATCTGAGATTATTGCTATTTCTCCCTGCCATCTTGATTCCAGCTTGTGCTTCATCCAGCCTGGCATTTCACATGATGTACTCTGCATATAAATAAGCAGGGTGACAATATACAGCCTTGGCATACTCCTTTCCCAATTTGGAACTAGTCTGTTGTGCCATGTACAATTCTAACTGTTTCTTGGCTTGCATACAGATTTCTCAGGAGGCAGGTCAGGTGGTTTGGTATTCCCATCTCTTGAAGAATTTTCCACAGTTTGTTGTGATCCAGATAGTCAAAGGTTTTGGCATAATCAATAAATCAGAAGTAGATGTTTTTTTCTGGAACTCTCTTACTTTTTTGATGATCCAGCGGGTGTTGGGAATTTGATCTGTGGTTCCTCTGCCTTTTCTAAGTCCAGCTTGAACATCTGGAAGTTCACGGCTCACATACTCTTGAAGCCTGGCTTGGAGAATTTTGAGCATTACTTTGCTAGTGTGTGAGATGAGTGCAATTGTGCAGTAGATTTAACATTCTTTGGCATTGCCTTTATTAGGGATTGGAATGGAAACTGACCTTTTCCAGTCCCATGGCCACTGATGAGTTTTCCAAATTTCCTGATCTAGGCTCCTATCAAATTATTCCGTTTGCCCTGGGTCCCAGTATACATGAAATTTTTGAGTGGGCCCTTGAAGAGTATAGTCTGTATTTCTCCCAGTCCTATGGGGTTCTTGGAATAAACCCCTGCTGGCCTTCAAAGCCAAATGCTCTGGGTGGCTCCTCCCGAATGCCAGACCCTCAGTCTGGGGAGCCTGACATGGGGCTCAGAACTCTTATACCCGTGGGAGAACTTCTACGATATTATTCTCCATTTTGTGGGTTGCCCGCCTGTGGGTATGGGATTTGATCATATCCTGAGTCTGCCCCCTATATTGCTTTGAATTCTTCTTTATGACTTTATTTGTAGAAGATCTCCTCTCGTGGGTTCCAGTCTTTTTCATCAATGGTTGTTCTGCAGATAGTTTTGGTTTTGTTGTGCTCATAAGAGGAGGTGAGTTCAGGATCTTTCTACCCTCAAATCTTGGGCCCCTAAAACTATTTTGATTCTTTATGGAGAATTGCTAACACTTGGCAGTTGTCCCACCTGTAAGTCTCCTCTACACTAGCTTTTGTGTAGCAGAGCAGTTAAGGAACATATGGTCTTAACTACCGAGTAACGTACTGACCTGTTGAACCAAAGGTTTTCAAGCTTTTTTTCCCCCTCATTTCTGTATTCTGATAGAGTTCATTGACTCTACTGAACAACTAGAGGAGTTTGACCTGGAGGAAGATTTCGAGATTCTGAGCATATAAGATAGTGGAAACTCACCTTGGAGATCTGTCTTCCATCTGGCACCAGAAGAACATGAACTCATCACGTAAAACTTTTTTAGTCAGCAAGTGCCTAATATGCCAACAGCATACAAACTTGATAGGAATCATGACTGAGCCAATCACCATTTCTCAGCAAAAAAAAAAAAAGAGAGAGAATGAACAATATGCCCCTTTCCCAGAAGGAACTAAAACAATCATGGAATCTAGGTGCGGAAAGATTAGGAGCCGTCTCTTGCTTCCGAGCTTCTTACATGGCCACAGCAAATCTTCAGCTGCTGGAATAGGGAGGTGGATATGTGGACAGCCAGCAACTCCCACCTTACTTTCAGCACCAGCAGATGAGAGATGGTTACCCTGTGCTTCTTTACCCTCCTTTCAGGTTTGACCTCTTTGGGCTAAATACTAAGAAGCAGTCTGTTCCCTTGCTCTAATAATAAAGTGTTAATCATTGTATCAGAACAATGGTAACAAGAACAAAACGTTCTTGTTAAAGTATTTGAATATGTATTTAAATAATCATAATTGATCTCAAAAAGTATGTCAAAGACATTATATCAAATGTATATTTATTGATCTTCCTACTTGAGAGAACCTTACTATTGAATGGGCCATTGTCCCCGTCTTAACTGATACTTCTGTCAGATGTCACTCTGTCCTTAAATCATTTATCACTTAATTCAGGGGTCTGCAAACTTTTTCTGTCAAGGGCCAGAGAAGAAATGTTTTAGGCTCTGAAGGCCATGTAGCAGCTGTCACAGCTACTTATCTCTGCTGGTGAAGCACCTAAACAGCCCTAGACAGTGCACACACACAAGAGCCTGGCTGTAATGCAATAGAACTTTATTTACAAAAAAGGGGGGAAGGGCTGGATTTAGCCCCAGGCTGTAGTTTGCTAATCACTGACTTAAATTATTGATTTTTGTTTGGGAAATTAAAAATTGTGGTTGAATTTGACTCCCTTTTGCTTTACAGTCATAATTGGAAAGATAATTATTCATGTGGTGACATTTAATCTGTGCATCAAATACTACTTGGGGACTGTTGTTATTGTGCAGTCACTAAGTCATGTCCGACTCTTTTCGACCTCATGGACTGTAACCTGCCAGATGACTGAAATCCTCTGTTCATGGGATTTCCCAGGCAAGAATACTGGAGTGGGTTGCCATTTCCTCCTCCAGGGGATCTTTGCAATGCAGAGATCAAACCCATGTCTCCTGCACTGACAGGCAGATTCTTTACCACTGAGCCACCTGGGAAGCCCTTAATTTCAAGTCTAGCAATATACTAAGTTTTAAAGCACATATTCATCAAACTGGTTTTGCTAACCATTCTCCTGTGTGGGTGTACCTCACATCCCAGTGATATTTTCCCATTTTCCACTCCTTGTCTTTTTCAACTTGTATGCATTTCACCTCCTTGGTCAACAAAGTGCCCAACAGGCCCCAGGAAGGCCAGCAACTGCAGTATGAAAACTAGCAAATAAAGGAAATAAACCAAACTAAGGTGGGTTTTTTTTTTTTTGGTATAATCAGGAATATTTGAATACTCGTTTCCTTAGATTCCATATTCTTATTTTACCCAGTAGGTAATACATTCCAGTGAATTCAGAATTTGAAAGATGCAAAATGGTATTCAGTGAAATGTCTCTCCTTCCCACAAGTCAGTTCTGTTCCTTGTACCCTCCCAATGTTATTAATTTCTTGTTTATCCTTCCAGAGGCTATATTTTATGCATATACAAATACATGCACATATATCTTAGATTTGATTTTAATGACTTTAAAATTTCTCTCCTTTTGATTAATCTGCAAATGATCCTGAGAACCCAGAAGTATGGAAACCCCTTTCTTGAACTCAAGCATGTGATGGGGCTAAAAACAGTAGTAAGCTTATCTTGAAACAACTTGTAGATTTGTTGCCTGTTGGAAGACATTTTCAGCCCTTGACTTTCATTGTATTTTTCTGTGCCTCACTGTTATGTTGTAAAGCTCAACTTGCAGTAACAAGAACCCCCAAGGCTCTGAGGGGAACTTAGGAATTTCAGTGACATGGGCTTTGAAAAATTTTCATCAAAGAATGTCAAAGAGTCAAATGTTCACATTGAATTCCTTTTATTTGCCATGTACAAAGCTGACACCATGCTTATTACTCAAGAGGTGAAGGTAACAATAGTTTGGATTATACTGATTATGCTTTGTGTGTGTTGGCACAGTTTATATAATATTTAAGGAAACAGAATCACCTGGAAGGAATTGCCTCATGTCAACATAGCTAAGTGTTCTGGGAAACTGATGATTAAAGGAAATGGTTAAAATAATCCCCCTAAACAGAATATGATATAGTTTATAATCTGTCCAGGCTTGCTTTGGGTCTGCTAAGTGTTAAAGAGAGCAGTGTGCTAGATCTTTATGAGGCTAAAAAAACATCAAAATGGTTTAACGAGCTACCTATGAAAGAGCAATTGGATGAAATTTTAATGGCAAGTCTCTCACAGCCTCAAAATGCAAAGCAACCAGCACTGCAGTGTTGATTTGCCACATTGCACACATCTGGATGCTGTTTGGAATAAACAAGGGCTTCTGAGAAATTGGGACAAGGGATTTACCTTTTTGTTCCTGGAGTCAAAAGCAAAATTCATACCTCCTTACCCATGCTCCTCTCTACCCCCAGCCCAGGAGAATGGGCAGCAGTTCACATTTCCCTTTATGGGTCTGACCCCATTTGGTATATCCTCTGCTCTACTCTGAATCAGGCCAAGTCTGCTGCCTGTGGCTGGGGAGGGAGCTGACAAGGAGGAATTGATTTGTTTATGACCATATGAAGTTGATGAGCCCCTCTTGGCAGCTGGCCTTCCAGCCCAGTCGTGCTTACTGTTGAAGGAGTCAAAGCTCATCCCAGGTTACTGCTAGCACCTCATTCTGTCTCCGTGAAGAGTGAGAGTTTGCCCTGTGCAGGCTCCATCCATCCATAATGTTGAACCAGAGAACATTTTTTGTGTGTGTGGAAACACTGGGTTCTAGTTTAGGCCAAATAATGTGCAGTGACCTCTGGACATAGAGAAATGACTCCTTAGTTATCATGAAGAGCTTTCTGATCAAGATGGTGAGGAAAGCGAGCATTCTAAGAAAGTGGTGGCCTAGCGGTCTTTCTGAGGTAGCCATGAAGAATCATGCAAACATCCAAACCAAATTGTAGCACCAGGTTGACTGAAATGGGACAGCAGACCTCAGCAGGGTGGGCTCACCCAGGGGACCTGAGGGTGGGGGTGACCAAGGTCCAGTAGTCCAGCCCAAATGAGACTCCATGGTACAACTTGACAGATGGGCAAAAGGGCTTAGGCCTTCCTTCTTCAGACCATTCTTGTTTGTGAGGTGACCGTTGTGTGCAGGAGGGGAGGGCAAGGGGCAGAGTGGCAGGTGCCACCCTACATGCTTTTCATACACACCTGGCAGCGACTGACCCGGGTATGGAGCTGTCCGGCTTTCAGTGTCTCAGATACGGGCTCCTCCCCGAACTGCTGCCTCTCTTCCACTGTTGTCAGCCAGAAACTATATTTGTTGGCAAAATAGTGGCAGGTGCCCCGGGAACCACTGCACTCGATGAAAGGAGTAGCCCGGAAATCCTCTAGGCAGGATCCAGGAGAGACCAGGGACTGGCCTCCACCCTCTGCACCAGCGGCTGTGTGCTGAAACGGACAGAGGGTGGCCATGAGCTAGTCACCCGGGAGGCAACAGGCTCTGCTTCTCCAGCCCTGAGCTCTGGTCCCTTGGTTTAGCCCCCATGTCAGGTCAATAAAGCAAACATTGTGTTTTGGATCCTTTTCACTGCCTCAGGGCCAGGAGTGCCCCCTCCGAGCTCCTGAGTGCCCTCCTAGCCCACAGCTCCTGGGCTGTGGCTAATCCTAGCCAGCTTCTCTCAGACTGCTGATGCCCTCCGAGTCCCCCAGGTGTGCTAGTGCCCCCAGAAGATTTCCACTGACAAAGAAATCTGAGAAAGGCTGAATTAAGGAAAATTCAGTGGGATTCAGAATGCAGTTCTCAGAACCCTTTGCTCCAAGCCCATGGTGGTGTTTTCCAGAGAAGGGAGAGAACATGGGATAGTCTACCAGGTGGTTAGACCATGGGCCCATCCCCTCATGGATCTATTAACAGCTCTTACTCTGAAGTCACCTTTATTGGAACTCTTACTTGCAATCTGTACCAAACCCTTGAGGGAACATTTAGTGTTCATCACCTGTCGAGTACAAGTGGGCCTCATATTTGGCCTGATGTCCCAGCCCTCGCATCACCCGGCTCCCTCAGCACTCGATTTCAGGATTTCCCTCCAAGTGCTCCCTACCCTCATCCTTTACCCTGGGGGAAGGGGCAGTGCAGGGCCTCACCATGAGGAAGGAATACCCAATCCACAGACTGCGCCAGCCCAGGGGGCACTGTGGGATGGTGATGTCCTGGCTGTGCACAGCAATGGCTTGCGAGGGTGCCTCACACACAGAGCAGCGGCTGATGTATTGGGGGATCTGTGTCTGGCCGACGGGCATCATAGGGATGGGGGCGGTGGTGGAGAGCCAGTAGGACTTATCATTCCGTCGGGCATAGTGGCACACTTCGTTGATGTTGCAGTAGATGAATGGCATGGTGCTGAAGCGGGGCAGGCAGGAGCCAGCAAACCCTGGAAGGAGAGAAGATAGGAAGGGGCAGGTAAGATCTGGCTGAGGGACTGGGCTTGGATTGTCCTCGGAGCCACTACGACTGAACTAGGTGGTGGTTTGGATTCATATCCAACTGCTTGTTCCAGAGCATGGTTGCCTCTCCTTCCGGTCCTGGACTACTGTACACACCCTGATGTCTGCTGATCAAATCCTACTTTCTATGTACCAGAGAGATTGGATAATGAATCTTTTTAGAAACTGAATGAAGACTCCCTAAATCAACCCATTTTGTAAAACCAACATTTAATAGAGTGAGTCTACATTTCAGAGTC